AATACAGCACCGAAAAGTTCAGGACGCTGCTGTGAAACTGCGCCAACTAACAGACCACCATTTGAAGCGCCGTGGATCACCAATCTAAGATATCAAACTTTTCCGTGTGGAAGTGCATTAAAAAATGAAAGTTTTTTACCGTATAAAAACTAAAACTAAAACTTTATCAATGTTATTTACTGTATCATAATCGAAGACCAGAATTTAATGTTTTTTTCAGAAAAAATTGCTGAATTGAAACTTCTCAATGCTGCTTTTCTCCTGGTGCTCCATCGTGGTCTAGCGGTGGCGATGCTCGGAACGAGACGCTCATACTCAACACATACTACTGGCGTTTCGACGTGGCTTAATAGAGAAACTAATCCTAGTATAAAAAAAAAATGAAATTGGACTGCAAAAAAACAGATAAGTAGGAAAGCTTCGGCTCATTAAGGCACATATATACATATATATATGTATGTATGTATATATATACATATATATGTATATATATATATATATATATATATACATACACACATATATATATATATATATATACAACCCCAATAAGCCTTATCAAACATTTCCAACGGAAGAGGTGCTGGGCTGACAAATCCTCCGGAAAACGAGGACGAAATGAAATACAGGAACGGCAAAAGGCTGACTACGTAAAGCAGCACTGGTCAGAGCAATTGGAAGAACTGACCAGACGATGTTGCAGTAACGGGAAAAAGCGCTAATAACAAAGTTGGAGATTGGGCAATGAAGTACTAGCTGATCCAGGAATTATTAATAAATACTAAGCCACCAGCCAAAATATTTTAACGAAATTTGAAAAAGTTCTTGCGAAAAAATTGTTATATGTAGTTCTTTTTGTTTTTAAATCAAATTAGCTTACCTTTTAGGCGATGTATAATTGTTATTGACCAGATACTCCGCAGCCGCTATGAAATCATCGAAGACATTTTGCTTTAGTCTGCGTACACCAGCTTCGTGCCATTTCTCGCCATATTCACTAAACTTGACATGATTTTTCTTGCAAAATTTTTAATTTCCGTAAAAATGCATTGCGTGGCAGAAAATAGTTTAACGCGATTCAGTTTCAGCGGTAAAAAATCCAAAGCTGCTGTTGAGGCGGTGTAAAGACGCAATCGTGTTGCCTGGGTAGGCCCATCAACCCCAAGAATTCTTGAATTATGACCAGGACAAGGTCTCGAAAATGGGAGATGTAAAGATGAAGTTCTCGCCTTACCCCCTCTCCCGCCCTCCCACCTCCTAATCTGATTATAAAATACAAAAATAAAAGAAAATTGAGTCATCTTCCGATGACACTTCTCCCGAACGTTGGAAAACGACGCTAACATCGGAGATTCGATCTCCGACAGTAATCCCATTCCTCGTTTGCAGACGACCCTCTCCCGCGCCGATTTTCTCAACGTACATTGAATCTATGACGGTACAATCCATCCCTGGTTTCCATGGCGTTAACTCTGGAACTTTAGAATCGAAGATTTTAATGTATGATATCCATTACAAGAATACCATTATTTAAGACTGATGACCCGATGAATCAAGGTCCGCGTATATCATCCGACTGAGTGCCCTACGTCAACTTTTCCAGCTTCGTTCCCTGACGGATTGCATCATGTCAACTAATCCAGTCACACCACCATCGGTGATTCGCCAGTCACTCATTTTATCTCATGCCTTTGTCTCGAATAATTAATCCTCTCTTTTCCCTGCTTTAGCCGGGCACGTTAACTAGTTTCTTCGGTCGATCGAAACATTTACACGCGGTAACAAAGCAGCTCTTTTAACTATGGGAAGTTCAAGTTATCAAAACTGAGGGATATCATCAAGAATTTATTAGACAGATACAATACTTTTTTCCACGCCGGTTCGCGTATCGATAAAGACTAGAAAGCGACAGGGCAGAACAACGCCAATCGGCGATGTTTGAAGCTGGTATTGCCACGCTAGCCTAGAAAGGCGATCCGGACAGCTTCGTGGACACATTTTTCACCAACAGCGAGGTTTGTGAGATGAATGAGATGATGCAGAAACTTAACGCAGAAAACAAAGAAACAGGTACGAAAATCAATGCAACAAAAACAAACGTAATGTAAATCGCCCGTATGCCAGCGTAGAGGATGGTAAACGGTGATGAAGATGACAGCTACGTCTACTTTGACCAAGAAATAAGCGTAACTCGAGCCGAAAAAATCATAGAACGCTGCAGCTGGTGTGAATTTCACAAAAACCTTCTCTTCAGTAATACTGTGCTAACGGTAGTGTCATGCAAGTGCGAGATGTGATCACTGTTGAAAACAAAAGAATGACTTGTGGCAGCGACGAAGCAAAAAGCGAGCTTAAGGATGGCAGGTGTTTTTCACGGTCATATCTGCAGTCATTGTTTTCACTGTCAGAACTCCACAAGTCAATAAAATGAAGAAGCCGTACGTTTTATTAATACTGAAATCAACATACCCTCCACCCCGCAAATTAGCAACTGCATAAAGCCCTTTGAAATGATTGAGGAGTAAAATGCGGGAAAACGAAAAATCAGGCATAAGGACATTATTGAAGCCACCATAACCATCCAGCATCGTCGGATTATTGCCATCCAATGCCATATCTTTATTATGCACTATGTAAAGTGGAATCTGTAAAATG